ATGTTTTAAATTTTAGATTTTTCGATTTCTGGATTTTTTGATTTTCCAGTATTTCAGTATTTCTATTTTCCAATTTTTCAAATTTTGACATTGCTAAATTTTCAGTTTTCCGATTTTTCAATTAATATATTTTTTTTTATTTTCCCGTTTCTCGAATTCGCAGTTTCAATTTTTCAGTTCTTCAATTCTTCTATTTTTGGATTTTTCGGTTGGCTAATTTTTTTATTTCCCAATTTTGGATATTTGTTTCAGTTTTGGGATTTTTCAATATTTTATTTAGATTTTTCAATTTTCGACTGTTTTATACATATTTCGATTTCCGAATTTTTCGAGTTTTCATTATATACTTTTTCGTTTTTTTATTTTTGATTTTTAATTTTACAGTTTCTTGACTTCTAAATTTTTCAATTTTTCGATATTACAGTTTCTCATTTTTCAATTTTTCACATTCTCAGTGTTTAATTTTTGTCATTTTCAATTTTTCGTTTCCTCAATTTTTCAAGTTCTCGATTTTTATTTTTCATTTTCCCGATTTTTTTAATTTTCATTTTCTCGGTTTTATGTCACTAATTTTCATTTTTTCAATTCCTTTATTTCTTGTTGTTTCTTTCGATTTTTCAATTTTTCGTTGCTTCAATTTTTCGAATTTTCAGTTTCTCAATTTTTCATGTTCCCGAATTTTATCTTTCAGTGTGGTGAATTTTTAATTTTTATTTTCTCGATTTTAATCACAATTGTCCGTTTTTTCATTTCCTTTATTTTCTGTGTTTTTTTTTTCGATTTTACAATTTTTCAGTTGTTCAATTTTTCAAATGTTCAGGCTTTGAATTTTCAGTTCGTCCATTTTTCACTTTTTAAATTTTTCACTTTGCAATTTTTGGATTTCCAGTCTTCCGATTTTCCAATTTCTTTAATTTTCAATATCTCTATTTCATAATACACATTTCTTTTTTTTATTTTTCACTTTTTCGATTCTTAAGATTTTTCAAGTTTTCATTTTGTAATTTTTCGTTGTTTATTTTTGATTTTTCAATTTTACAATTTCTCGTCTGCCAAAATTTTCAGTTTTTAGGTTTGCATCAGTTTTTCAATTTGGCAATTTTTCAATATTACAGATTTTATTTTCACTTTTCCTATTTTATATCACAATTTATCGTTTTTTCATTTCCTTTATTTTTTGTTGTTTCTTTCGATTTTACAATTTTTCGTTTATTCAATTTTTCAAATTTTCAGGTTTTTTCAATTTTTCTTCAAATTTTCAAGTTTCATTTTCACTTTCCACATTTTTCAAATTTTTGTTATACACTTTTTGGTTTTTTATTTTTGATTTTTCAATTTTACAATTTGTCGACTTCCAAATTTTCCAATTTTTCAATATTACAATTTCTCATTTTTCCATTTTTCACATTCTTGATTTTTAATTTTTCCCTTTTTCAATCTTTCGTCATCTCAGTTTTTCAACTCTACGATTTTTATTTTACATTATCCTGATTTTTTATTTTTCATTTTTTCGATTTTATCACAATTTTTTGTTTTTTTAATTCCTTAATTTGTTTCTTTCGATTTTCCAATTTTTCGTTTATTCAATTTTTCAAATTTTCAGGCCAATCGATTCCACTTCGTTGATTTTCCAATTTTAAAATTTTTCAGAGTGCAGTTTTTGAGTTTCCACCCCTTTTTTACTCTTTGGATTTTCAATTTTTCGTTAAACTTTAAATTTTTCAAATTTTCCACAGTTTTATACTTCGTTTTCTCAATTTTTTTTTCAACTTTTTCGATTTTTCTTTTTTAAAATTTGTCTATTTCTCTATTTCTCGATGTTTCAATTTTTGGGTTTCTTGGTTTTTCGATTTTCCAATTACTCGATATTTCGATTTGTCGATTTTTCAGTTTTTCGATTTTTAAGTTTTAGATTTTCGAATTTTTCTTTTTTGATTCTTTGATGTTTGGATTTCTCCATTTTTCAATTTTGCGATATTTCAATTGTTCAATGTTTTAAATTTCAGATTTTTCGATTTCTGGATTTTCTAATATTGACGTTGCTAAATTTTCAGTTTTTCGATTTTTCAATTAATATATATTTTTTTATTTTCCCGTTTCTCGAATTCGCAGTTTCAATTTTTCAGTTCTTCAATTCTTCGATTTTTGGATTTTTCGGTTGGCAATTTTTTTAATTTCTCAATTTTGGATATTTGTTTCAGTTTTGGGATTTTTCAATATATCTGTTTTTCGACTTTTCGGTTTTTTATTTTTGGATTTTCAGATTTTCGTTTTTTAAACATTAGATTTTTCAATTTTCGACTGTTTTATACATATTTCGATTTCTGAATTTTTCGAGTTTTCATTAAATCCTTTTTTTTTATTTTTGATTTTTAACTTAACACTTTCTTGATTCCTAAATTTTTCAATTTTTCGAGTTGCAATTTTTCGATATTACAGTTTCCCATTTTTCGATTTTTCACATTCTAAGAATAAGAATAAGAATAAGAATAAGTTTATTGCACAACTAGAGCAGCGTACAAAAAGTTAGAATGCAGGCTAACCCTGATACTAAAACGATTCTAACTCATACCTACACAACACACATTAAACATACAATATACAATTAGAATACGTAAATAAGTAAAATAAATAAAACAACCTTACAAACATAGTCAAACTTAAAATCGACGAACATTAACATTTATGTCGTGACTATTTAAAATATCAGACTTAATTCTCTTTTTGATACAAGAACTGGATGCATTTAAATATATCAAAAAATTATTGTTAATATGTGATGCTAAGTAGGAGAAAGACGACTGAAACTTTGCAGTTCTGTGAACAGGAATCTCGAGTCGTTGATCAACATGTCTTAAGTCTCTTATATTTATTTCATTTCTTTTAATCATTTTAACAAAAAGATATTCAGGAACATGAGTTTCTAGAATCTTTTTAATGAAATTTACGTAATGTAAGAAACGCTGTTCATTTAGCTTAAGTTCTTTTAAAAGTTTTATATATGGTGAAATATGTTGAAATCTCGGTGTTTAATTTCTGTCATTTTCAATTTTTCGTTTCCTCAATGTTTCAAGTTCTCGATTTGTATTTTTCATTTTCCAAATTTTTGTAATTTTCATTTTCTCGATTTTATGTCACAAATTTTCATTTTTTCAATTCCTTTATTTCTTGTTGTTTCTTTCCATTTTTCAATTTTTCGTTGCTACAATTTTTCGAATTTTCAGTTTCTCAATTTTTCATGTTCCCGAATTTTATTTTTCAATGTGGCGAATTTTTAATTTTTATTTACTCGATTTATATCACAATTGTCCGTTTTTTCATTTACTTTATTTTCTGTTTTTTTTCGATTTTACATTTTTTCAAATTTTCAGGCTTTGAATTTTCAGTTCGTCCATTTTTCAATTTTTAAATTTTTCACTGCAGTTTTTGCATTTCCAGTCTTCCGATTTTCCAATTTCTTTAATTTTCAATATTTTTATTTCATAATACAGATTTCTTTTTTTTTATTTTTTACTTTATTCGATTCTTAAGATTTTTCAAGTTTTCATTTTGTAATTTTTCGTTTTTTATTTTTGATTTTTCAATTTTACAATTTCTCGACTTCCAAAATTTTCAGTTTTTCGTTCCTTCAATTTTTCGGCTTGCATCAGTTTTCCAATTTGGCAATTTTTCAATATTACAGTTTTTCATTTTTCAATTTTTCATTTTCTCAATTTTTAATTTTTCCCTTTTCCAATTTTTTGTTTCCGATTTCTATTTTTCATTTTCTCGAAATTTTAATTTTCAGTTTTTCGATTTTACCATTTTTCGTTTATTCAATTTTTCAAATTTTCAGGTTTTTTTCAATTTTTCTTCAAATTTTTAAGTTTAGTTTTCACTTTTTACATTTTTCAAATTTTTATTATACTTTTTCGTTTCTTTATTTTTCATTGTTCAATTTTACAATTTGTTGACTTCCAAATTTTCCAATTTTTCAATATTAGAATTTTTCATTTTTCCATTTTTCACATTCTCGATTTTTAATTGTGCCCTTTTTCAATTTTTCGGCCACTCAATTTTTCAACTCCCCGATTTTCTCGATTTTGTCACAATTTTTTGTTTTTTCATTTCCTTAATTTTTGTTGTTTCTTTCAATTTTCTAATTTTTCGTTTATTCAATTTCTCAAATTTTCAGGCCAATCGATTCCAATTCGTCGATTCTCCAATTTTTAAAATTTTCAGTTTGCAGTTTTTGGGTTTCCACCCCTTTTTTACTTATTGGATTTTCAATTTTTCGTTAAACTTTAGATTTTTCAAATTTTCGACAGTTTTATACTTCGATTTCTCATTTTTTTTTTTCAATTTTTTCGATTTTTCTTTTTAAAAATTTTTCAATTTTTCTATTTCTCGATTTTTGGACTTCTCGGTTTTTCGATTTTCCAATTTTTCGATGTTTCGATTTGTCGATTTTTCAGTTTTTCCATTATTCAGTTTTAGATTTTCGAATTTTTCTTTTTTGATTCTTTGATGTTTGGATTTCTCCATTTTTCAATTTTGCGATATTTCAGTTGTTCAAAGTTTTAAATTTTAGATTTTTTGATTTTCCAGTTCTTCAGTATTTCTATTTTCCAATTTTTCAAATTTTGACGTTGCTAAATTTTCAGTTTTCCGATTTTTCAATTAATGTATTTTTTTTTATTTTCCTGTTTCTAGAATTCGCAGTTTCGATTTTTCAGTTCTTCAATTGTTCGATTTTTGGATTTTCAGTTTTTCGTTTTTCAAACTTTATTTTTCAATTTTCGACTGTTTTATATATATTTCGATTTCTGAATTTTTCGAGTTTTCAGTTCTTGTATATTTTAATTTTTCTTTTTTCCAAATTTTCTATTTTTCGATTTTTCAATTTTCCAATTTTTTAAATTTTAACTTTTTAACCCAACTAAAATCTGTGTATTTAAAGATTTTATTACGACCACAATAATTAACACAGAAAGGACACTCAAGAACATACAACGAACGTGGTACTTAAAAAATTTATTCTGTAACGTACAATTGTTATAACGACCAAATAAATAATAGAACATGAACAGCACACGTCGGCATTTTTCAATTTCTGCTAACTAAATTCCTTAAAAACTTAACAATATAGTGTCATAAAGAAATAACGTAAAACATTGGTAACAAAATCACTTGGAATTTAATGAAATGAAATGTATTGTACAAGGCGACAAGTGAGGTTATGTTTGTATCATTTCATATTCTATTGATCACAGATTTATATATGTACATAGGAACTAACATTACTAGTTACTTTTAATTACACCAACAGTACAAAAATACTCAATCTGAGATAAACACAATGTTACCAACGTCTTTACGCCTACTACATCTAGATGCTTAAGATATATCACATTATCATAAAATCTCCTATAATTAACAAAATCGCCAATCATTTTTTGTATTCAGTACAAACCTATCTACTTAGTCTTTTTATATCACATCTTTCGTTAAGTGTTCTTTCAACTCATCTCAGATAAGTGAGTCCTTTTTTTTGAATGCAATAATGATCAGGTAACTGAAACAAAAAACATTGACAAATTCACGACCTACCTCCTAATCTTCAATACTGTCACTTACAGGTGCCCCGATCCTCGACAGGTACCTATTCCGGATCTCGAAATCTGAACTCGGTTGAAAACCGTCGTTGCTCGTTCCGGCTTCGGCAGCTAGGAGTTTCTGATTTTCTTCTTCTTCGGCACTACTAAAAAAACGAACAAAAGTTTCACGAAAATTCAGTCGGGGGGTGAAACTCACCGAAGAGCCTCCTGGTGGAGAAGTCTGGAACCTGGAGTCATGTTCAACATGCCGCGTTGCCACGTGTCGGTGAACCATAAGACGAAAGTGGCTACTAAGGCGACTAAAAACGAAAATTTGGCATCGGTTGAAGAGAGAATACTAAGGATTACCTGTTAGACTGCTCAAGAAGAAGATTTCCAGCCACGTGTAGCCGTATTTCTCTACGATATCGCCAGCCACTATTGTAAATACCGCCAAACCGAGATTTTGGACAGCTTGACAACTAAAAACCGAAATTATCAGATCAAAGTGAAGTAAATGGAAGATTTAACTTTTAGAGGAAACTCGGACTCAGTTGGTGCTTCTTAAAATATGAACCCGTAACTTACACTCCATAAGCTGTTCCCAGTTGGTATTCTGGAATGATGAGCGACACTAAAGGCCACAGGCTGCTGGCCAAGCATGCGTACGCAAGTCCCATGGAAACCTACGCTTAAATTTTAGTACCAACGCTGTATGATTCGTACTTAAGTTACCATAGCGACATAAGGAGTGACTGTAGTGAATGCCAGCAGCGAGTGTGAGCAGATGGTAGCGGAAATTGCCAAAATGATCCACGATATGTTTTTGCCCACTTTGTCGATGACGAGTCCCAAGACGGGTGACGCGATTCCTGATATTAAGTACACGAGACTGTTGATATTGTTCGCTTCCTGGTTGGTCATGTGGAATTTGGTGGTGAAGAAGCCTCTGTAATAAACAACACGATTATTTAAAATTTTGAATTCTACGTTGTTCGTTGCAAAACAAACGATGAAACTAAGGTTAAAATAAAGTTCGAATTATTTCAACAGAACTTTCCGCGTCCCTGAAGTGCAACACAACAAATCCGGGTTTGAAAAAAAATATTTTTTTTTGCGATTTTTGATTTCTGCTAACATCTATAAATTAAAAAGCAGTGGCGTAAATAAGACTCCCGCAGCTTTTTTCACTTGAAGTTTTCAAGTCTTTTCAATGTTTTCATTTTATGAGTCTTCTTTTTCAATGTGAAAATTTTCCATTTTTGGATTATTCAATTTTTGACTTGCAATTTTCCAATTTTTAAATATCTAATTATAATTTTTAAACATTTTAACTTTTTCAATTTTGCGATTTTAGAATTTTTCGATTATTGGATGTTAAAACTTCTTTGTTTTTTCGATTTTTAATTTTTCAATTTCTCGAAATCTAATTTTTCAATTTTTTGACTTTTCAATGACAGTTTTTCGATTTTACAATATTTGGATTTTCACATTTTTCGTTTTCGCGGTTTTTCTTCTTTCCAATTTTTCGATTCATTAATTTTTTTGAGTTTGCAATTGTTCAATTCTTAATTTTTCAATTCGATTTTTTCCTTATTTTTCAGTTTTTCAATGTTCTGATGTTATAATTTTTCTTTTTTTTTTAAATGAGAAATTTTTAACTTTTGGAACTTTCATTTCTTTGTTTTGCAATTTTTCGGTTTTCAACGTTTAGATTTTTTAATTTTTCGTCTCTTCAATCTTTATATTTGCAATTTTTCTAGCTTTCATTTTAAATACGATGATTTTTAAAAATTTTAACTTTTACAATTTTACGATTTTAGAATGTTTCTATTTTTCAATTTTTATTTTTTCAATTTCTCGACATTTAATATTTCAGTTTTTCGATTTTTCAGTGTTAACGTTTTTCGACTTTAGAATTTCGACGATTCTATAATTTTTTTGATGTTACAATTTTTGGGTTTTCCAATTTTTCACTTTCGCGGTTTTTCTTCTTTCCAATTTTTCGATTCATTAATTTCGATTTTTAGTTTTTCAATGTTTAAATTTTTCGTTTCTTCAAATTTTCGATTTGCAATTTTCACATTTTCACTATTTCGATTTCGCAATTTTTTGATTTACTAATTTTTAATTTTAATTTTTTTTTTCAGTTTTTCAATGTTTTCATTTTGAGAGTCTTCTTTTTCAATGGGAAATTTTTCCGTTTTTGGATTATTCAAATTTTGATTTGCAATTTTTCCATTGTTTAAATATCTAATAAATAATTTTTAAAATTTGTAACTTTTTCAATTTTACGATTTTAGATTTTTTTCATTTTTCAATTGTTGGATTTTAAAACTTCTTTGTTTTTTCGATTTTTAATTTTTCAATTTTTCGAAATCTAATTTTTCAATTTTTTGACTTTTCAATGACAGTTCTTCGATTTTTCAATTTTTGGGTTTTCCAATTTTTCGCTGCCGCGGTTTTTCTTTTTTCCAATTTTTCGATTCATTAATTTATTCGATTTTTAGTTTTTCAATGTTTAGATTTTTCGTTTCTTCAGATCTATGATTTGCAATTTTCACATTTTCACTATTTCGATTTTGTAATTGTTTGATTTACCAATTTTTAATTTTTATTTTTTTTTCAATTTTTCAATGTTTTCATTTTATGATTCTTCTTTCTTCAATTGGAATTTTTCTAGTTTTTAAATATCTAATAATAATTTTTAAAATTCTTCATTTTTACTTCCCGAGCGTAAGCAAAGGAAGTATTGTAATCGAGTCCGTCGGCCGACTCTCTACTTTTACGTTTTCTCGATCTTTCATGACCCCTAGAAGACGAAGAAATAGGTCTCCCATTTCCGTCTGTCTGTCCGTCCGTCTGTCCGTCTGCCGTCCCGGATTTTTATTAGACAGATAATCTCCGAAAGTACTCGACCGATTGTTGTGAAATTTTGTACTTATATTAAGAATATCATGTAGATGGTAAAACGCTAACCAAAATTTGTCTAATCATCCCCACCACTAATGCGATGACGTCACTTCAAAATTGTACATAGTAAATGGGTTTTCAATTGTATAAAATAACATAGTCCTACACATGTAGTTTACAACTCTGAATCGACTTTTCACTCGAAACGTCCAGATTTTTGGAAAAAAAATCAAAATTATAAAACAACATTTTGAAATTTAATTTTTAATCTGCTAACCAGAATGCTTTGAAATGTTGCAGATGTTTTAAGGCTATAAAGAGCATCATAAATCTTTAGTCAAAAAATATTTGCTTATCCCCTCCAAAAACTTGATGACGTCAGCTCAAAAGTTTGTGGAATAAATCATATCTAAAATGTACAAAATATGATGAGTCTGTACTTGTGATCTATCACTCCATTCATATTTTTTGGATTTGCATATACAGAGTGACTCAAAAAAATTAATGAATGCGTAAATATATTTTATTGATTTAATCAGGAACTACAAAACCGAATGCTCTGAAATCTTGCAGATGTTTTAAGGTCATAAAGAGCATAATAAATGTTTAGTCAAAATATATTTGCTTATCCCCTCCAAAAACTTGATGACGTCAGCTCGAAAATTTGCCGAATAAATCATATCTAAAATGTACAAAATATGATGAGCCTGTACTTGTCATTTATCACTCCATTCATATTTTTTGGATTTGCATATACAGAGTGACTCAAAAAAATTAATGAATGCGTAAATATATTTTATTGATTTAATCAGGAACTACAAAACGGAATGCTCTGACATCTTGCACATGTGTTAAGGTTATAAAGAGCATAATAAATGTTTAGTCAAAATATATTTGCTTATCCCCTCCAAAAACTTGATGACGTCAGCTCGAAAATTTGCCGAATAAATCATATCTAAAATGTACAAAATATGATCAGTCTGTACTTGTGATCTATCACTCCATTCATATTTTTTGGATTTGCATATACAGGGTGATTCAAAAAAATAAATGAAAGCGTAAATTTATTTTACTGATTTACTCAGGAACTACAAAACCGAATGCTTCGAAATCATGAAGATATTTTAAAATTATCATAAGCATGGTAAATTTTTGATCAAAATGTATTTGGTCGTCCTCCCTAAAAAATTTATGACGTCACCACAAAATTTTGCTGAATAAATCCTGTCTAAAATGTACAAAATATGGTGAGTCTCTTCTTGTGATTTATCATTCCATTCAAATTTTTTCGATTTGCATATACAGGGTGACTCAAAAAAATTAATGAATGCGTAAATTTATTTTATTGATTTAATCAGGAACTACAAAACCGAATGCTTTGAAATCTTGCAGATGTTTTAAGGTTATAAAGGGCATAATAAATTTTTAGTCAAAATATATTTGGTTATCTTCTACAAAAAACTGATGACGTCAGCTCAAAAGTTTGCCGAATAAATCGTATCTAAAATGTACAAAATATGATGAGTCTGTACTTGTGATTTATCATTCCATTCATATTTTTGGATTTGCATATGCAGGGTGACTCAAAAAAATTAATGAAGGCGTGAATTTATTTTATCGATTTAATCAGGAATTACAAAACCGAATGCTTTGAAATCTTGGGAATATTTTAAAGTTATTATAAGCATGGTAAACTTTTGTTCAAAATGTATTTGTTCATCCCTCCTAAAAAAATTGATGACGTCACCCTTAAATTTTGCTGAATAAATCCTATCTAAAATGCAAAAAATATGATGAATTTGTACTTGTGATTTATCATTCCATTCATATTTTTTAGATTTTCTTAAGAGGTGGTTCAAAAAAATTAATGAAGTCAATTTATTTTATTGATTAAATTAAAGGCAACACTTATTATTAGTATTACACCCCAACCAACCCAATTTGGTAGACACAAAATTTGTTAAAGGAAAAACTCGGTTGAAACATAAGGGTAGCACGCTTATTTACATCGACTTTAACATTACAGACCTGCATTTGTTTTATGCGCTCACTTGGTTCCGCGAATGTGAAATAGACATGTTTATAATCAACCAATTGTGAATTTCACCGTCAAGAATTTAAATAAAACCCAATGTTTTATATAATAAGCGGAAGTCGAAGCAATAAAACCGATGGTCGTTTTGTTTACAGTTTCTCTGTTTGGCTCTCGCGTATGCTGTTACGCCTGTCATCTTAAATTAAGAATGTTTATACATACACGATTTTCAGTTGCCTCTGATACGTATACGTGAGTAAATTGTTTCGTTATTTTATTGATTATTACAAATCAATATTCAAAACGACCCAATTCATTTTCTCGAAAATTTGAGAATATAATAATTTTATTCTTAGTATTACACTACATCTATCCCAAATGATATACGTGTCCTTGCAAAAATGTTGATGACGTCATCGCATTTTTTTTTTAAATTCCCACTACAAAAATGTAATGAGAAAAAAAACACAATAGGCATGCAGTCGTCAAGTTTCCGACAGCGAGGGAAGTACTGTCTAAACTCTTTAGACCAATTTTTTGGATTCTACGATTGTATTTTCATTCATTCGATTTTTTAATTTTCATTCATTCGATTTTTTAATTTCTATACATCTATTTTTTCGATTTTCCAGTTTTTCAATTCATTAATTTTTTTAGATTTTTATGTTTCTCGATTTTGAGTTTTTCAATGTTTCAATTTTTTGTTTTTCAGTTCTTCGCTTTACAAATTTTCGATAAATTTTGCAATTTTTCAATTTTTCGTTTTTCGATTTTTCAACTTTACGAATAAAAAAATGGAAACATTGCAAAACTGTAAAACTGAAAAATCGAAAACGAAGTATAAAGTGAAAACTTTGAAAAACCTAAAATTGGAAACCAAAAACTTGAAAAATTGAAAAATCAAAAGATTAAAAATTAAAATGAAGTATAAAGTGAAAACTTTGAAAAAACTAAAATTGGAAATCAAAAACTTGAAAAATAAAAAGATTAAAAATTGAGAAACTGCAAAATCGAAAAAATGAAAATTCAAAAAATCGGTAAATCGGATAATTATAAAATCCGAAGACATTGAAAAAATGAAGGGAACTCTTGATTTAATTAATACAATAAATTGCCTCAATAATTAATTTTTTTGATGACGCCATCAATTTTTTGGGGGGGATAAATGAATAAATTTTGATTAACGATTTACCATGATTACGGTAACCTTAAAATGTTTGCAATATTTCGAAGGATTCGGTTTTGCCGTTTCAATTGGTGATTGGAATGATTACCCAAATTTTGGTTCATTTTACCATACTAATAATAATAATAATAATAATAATAATAAGGCTAATCATCTACCATCTAGACGATAGTCCTAATATACGTAGAAAAATTGACACAGACAGACAAGCAGATGGACAGACTACACTATATTCTTAGTCATGATTATTTTCCGCAATGCAAACACTGCGATTGCATGTAGGAACATGATAATTTACTTCGATTTGTATTCTTAGAAATAAAAACACGAAAAAAATAAAAATACGATAGATAATTACTACCACGTTAATTATTGCTTGTAAATATTGCTAAAACAAAGAAAACCTTCGAAATGAATCAAAAAGGGGTTACGAGTTATTCAGCTGGAAGCAGTTCCAAGAAACTGACTGAATTTTCAGCTTACTTTAAAACTTTCAACCACAATGGGAAAAAAATTTACTATTCGAAATTCTGTACTGACCGACAACTTCGCCAATTCTCAAACTTTTAGTGTCTACAATGTGATTATCATCTCCTTTACGTGTCTATTTTTCCAAACACTAGGAAAAGAATACGTCACAAGAGGAAGGTAATAATAATGAATAAAAACAACAGTGAAAATAAATTTAATTTGTGTTAGAGTAACTTTCGGATTGGATGTAATAACAACAGGCTTCGTCCATTTCGATAAAGCTGTCTTCGTTTGGTTGTGTTCTTTTGGGTCAGCTTGTGCCTCATTTCTCTTCTTTAAAATATGGTCAAATCTTAGAGAGTTTGTCAAAGGTTGGTGAGTTAAGCTGTGGTCATATTTTAAACTAACACGTTGCTTCAAGAAACCACCACGATTTTGGACTGCTTTGGATTAACATGTCTGGTTGTGTATTATTTTTACACTTGCAAGTTACTCACTGATGCAGTATTTTATTTTGACTTCAATACGCCTTGTATAAGTTTTATTACTGTTGAACACGTAAGTGCATATTTAAAAAAGCTGCGCTAAAATATCAATTTTTAGGTAAGATTTTTAATGAAAGTACATGCGTTCGTGCGAACCAAGACCTCGGAAGGACCCTTTGGTTTGTCTTTTTCTAAATATCTATACTTCCTGTTCGCTCCTACCCTCATCTACAGAGACGCCTACCCTCGAACGAACACCATCAACTGGAAATTTGTCATTCAGTGTCTTCTCGAATGCATTGCCAGTTTTTTCGCACTGACTTTCTGCGTCGTGAACTGTTTTCCATCTCCAGAAAGATGGGCACAAAAGTATACTGTATCCGAGATACTGTACGAGATCGCAGTCGATCCAATATATGCAGCAATGGGTGTGATGGCTATGTTCTTGCTGGTTTTACACTCGGTACAAAATTTGTTTGCCGAGATTCTCCAGTTCGGAGACCGTTTATTCTACCTAGATTGGTGGAACGAATATAGTTTGCACGGTTGGTTGGTAAAATGGAACAAGATCGTGCAGGATTGGCTGTATTATTACGTTTATCGTGATTTCAAGGAACACATTTGTGACGATGGTTTTCTGGCAAAATTGACTGTGTTTTTGGTGTCTTTTGCTGTACACGAATGGATTATATATTGTTGTGTTGGTGCGTTTTTTCCGTTGATGTTTCTTGATTTTATGGCTGTGGTGTTTCCTTTGTCGTTCTACGAGTTTCCTAAAACCACGTTTTTTAATGTTCTTTACTGGTTTTTAGGAGTTTTAATGGTGAGCGTCGGGTTTGTATTCTATACTCTCGAGTGGTATGCTCGCTCGCAAAGCCCTTTAACAGACCCAACACTTCTAGACTTAGTTGTTCCTAGATTTATAACATGCGATTGTGTATTAAAATGGTAGATAGTTTAGATGTGGAAGTGAACAAAAAGAACTAAAAATATTTAATAAATAATTCTCCTTGTTGATTTTGATTTCTATACAGTTCAACAAATTTTTGACTACAGATACTCAAAAGTTTGTACAAGTTATACGTCATCAATAATTTTTTAAATAAGAAGGTATAATTTCGACTGTATTATTTGATAAAGCGTGTTTTTCTGAGAAACTGAGAAAATTAATAACAAAAAAATAAACATGATAAGTTGGAGTAAAAATTTATAATACTCTGCGGACTTATACGAGTCATTTCATGACGAATTTGTGCTTTCAAGTCGTCTAAATTATCGACTATGTTCGCGTAAGGACGACTTTTCAAATGACCCCATAAAAAAAATCAAGGGGGTGTTAGATCCGGAGACCTAGGTGGTCAATCTATTGGTTCACGCCTTCCAATCCACCTTCCATCAAATTTATTATCCAAAAACCTCACATTTATCCTGCGATCTAAATTTTGTGGATTATCTCTATCATTTAAAGAATTGGGGTTGTGGTCACAATGTCTCATGAAGCTTTCACAAAATTCTGTCAGGATTATCTTCTGGTAGCAGTTTCTCCTTTTTTAAAAACGTTTTCCACAAACGATTGGCTGACATTTTCTTTACCTTGACTAGTATTAACATACGCAACATTTTAATGGAAATAGTAAGTGACAACACCAATTACCTCCAATCAATGTACTCTTAAAACAAAAATCATGTTTAGAGGTGTAGTCAGAACAAAAAATAAAATTAATTACGAGATGTTGTACTTATCAGCAAATACAAAAACATGTTTACAACAAAAAAATCAAAATAATGTTTTTATTTTTGTAGTAAATTAATTTACAAATTTTACATATTTTTTAGTGTTCTTGTAGAGTTCGTTTCTCTGAATTCATTAACGTATCATACTTTAATCACCCATAATCCACCACTGCCACCTCCAAAGTTTAAATAGTAGATGTAATTTAAATTTTATATCCTCCGTTTACGGTTTATGCAACCGTGTTAAGTTTCATCTTAGACATCAAGATTTTTGGAAAAAAATCAACATTTTTCCAATTTATAATGTTATTTAAATGTTAAAAAGTAGCATGTCCTGAACTTGCCATTTATAAATACGTTTCTTGATTTCTCGATTTTTCGACTTTAGATGTCCCAATTTTTCAATATTTCAATTTTAGGCTTTTTCAAATTCTCAATCTTCCGAAGTTTCAAGGATACGATTTTTCAATTTTTCAAATTTTCACGTTTCTAAATTTTCAGTTTTCCGATTTCTGAAGTATTTTTTTTTTATTTTTCCATTTTTCCACTTCCTAAAGTTTAGATTTTTCAGTTCTTCAATTTTTCGATTTTTTAAGCTTACGATTTTTCAACTTTGCTTTTTTACGTAGTTTTTCGATTTCTCAATTTTCCAATTTTTTAATTCCTCAATGTTTTGGATATTTCTTTCAGTTATGAGATTTTTCAGTATTTCGGTTTTGCGATTTTTCGATTGTTGGATTTTTTTTGATTTCTCAATTTTTCGACTGTTTTATACTTCGATGTTTCAATTTTTCAACTTTTCCTTGTTTCAACATTTCGATTTCAGTTCTTCTATAGTTCAGTCTTTCGAATTTTTAAATTTTCTATTTTCCAGTTTCTCTTTTTTAAAATTTTTCGATTTTTAAATATTCGAATTTTATTTTTTGACGTTTGTATTTCTCAATTCTTCAATTTTGCGACGTTTTAATTGTTCAATGTTTTAAATTTTAGATTTCTCCATTTTTTGATTTTTCAGTATTTCTATTTTTCAATTTTTCAAATTTTGACGTTGCTAAATTTTCAGTTTGCCGATTTCTCAATTAATCTATTTTTGATTTTCCCACTTCTGGACTTCTTCAAGTTTCGATTTTTCTGTTCTTCAATTCTTCGATTTTTCGACTTCGCTTTATTGGTTTTTCGATTTCCCAATTTTCCAATTTTTTAATCCCTCAATTTTTTTGAGATTCTTCAATATTTTGATTCTTCAACTTCTGGATTCTTCGGATGTTTCGTTGTTTTGATTATTCAATCTCTCGATTCATCAATTTTTCCATTTTAACTTTTCGATTTTTCGACTTCTTAACTTTTCAATCTTTCGACCCTTCGATTTTTCGATGTCTCAGTTTTTGAATTTTGCCATGTTTCAATTTTTCGATGTTTCGATTTCTGAGTTCAATTTTCCAATTTTTTAAATATTCCAGTTTCGATCTCTCAATTCGTTGATTTTTCAGTTTTTCGATTTTTAAATTTTAGATTTTCGATTTTTTTTTATTTTTTGATGTTTGGATTACTCCATTTTTCAACTTTACGATATTTTAATTTTTCAATGTTCTAAATTTTCGATTTTTCAGTTCTTCAATATTTTTATAATTTTTCAAATTTTGACGTTTCTGAATTTGCAGTTTTCGGATTGCTCAATTAATCTACTTTTTTATTTTCCCATTTCTCCACTTCCCAAAGTTTCGACCTTTTAGTTCTTCAGTTCTTCAATTTTTCGATTTTTCAGGTTTTTGATTTTTCAAATTTTCGATTTTTTAAGTTTGCGATTGTTTGACTTTGCTTTTTTGACTTTTCGGTTTCTCAATTCTTTTATTTCTAATTTTTGGATACTTCGTTCAATTTCGTGATTTTTCAATTTTTTGACTCGTCAATTTTTCAATTTTTCGATATTTGAGTTTTGGGATTTTTTAGTATTTCGTCTTACCAAGTTCTGGATTTTTCGATTTCTCAACTTTTCAACTTTTCCATCTTTTAATTTTTAAATTTTTAAATTTCTAGATTTTTCGATATCTCGACCTTCCAGTTCTATATTTAATTTTTCAATTTTCCGAATTTTTCAACTTTTTGAGATCTCGATTTATCGAGATTCGGATGTTTCGTTCGGATAATCTATCGATTTTTGCATTTTTAACTTTTCGATTTCGGTTTCTCAATTTTTCGATTTTTCGACTTCTCAACTTTTCGACTCTTCGATTTTTCGGTCTTTTGATTTTTTGATTTCTCGATGTATCAGTTTTTGAATTTTACTATGTTTCGATTTTTGAATTATCCGATTTTTCATTTTTCTATTTTTTTAAATATTCAAGTTTAGATTTCTCGATAAATTTTAGATTTTCGAATTTTTATTTTTTTGATTTTTTGATGTTTGGATTACTCCATTTTTCAATTTTACGATATTTTAATTTTTCAATGTTCTAAATTTTCGATTTTTCAGTCCTTCAATATTTTTTAATTTTTCAAATTTTGACGTTTCTGAATTTTGAGTTTTCGGATTTCTCAATTAATCAATTTTTTTATTTTCTCATTTCTCCACTTCCTAAAGTTTCGACCTTTCAGTTCTTCACTTCGTCAATTTTTCATTTTTCAGGTTTTTGATTTTTCAATTTTTCGATTTTTTAAGTTTGCGATTGTTCGACTTTTCGGTTTCTCAATTTTTTTATTTCCTAATTTTTGAATACTTCGTTCAATTTTGTGATTTTTCAATTTTTTTTTTCTTCTATTTTTCAATTTCTCGATATTTGAGTGTTGGGATTTTTTAGTATTTCGACTTATCAAGTTCTGGATTTTTCGATTTCTCGACTTTTTACTTTTTGGATTTTCAATTTTCCGTTTTTTAAACTTCAGATTTTTCAATTTTTTACATTTTAAAACTGTTTTATGCTTCCATTTCTCAATTTTCAATTTTTCCATATTTTAACTTCCCGATTTTTAAAATTATAGGTTTTTCGATTTCTCGAGTTTTCAGTTCTTCTATATCTCAATTTTCCAATTTTTTAATTGCTCAATTTTTGGATATTTTTTTCAGTTTCCAAAGTTTCCAGTATTTTGATTCTTCGACTTCTGGATTTTTCGATTTTCAGTTTTTCGTTTTTTAAACTTTGGATTTTTCAATTTTTCAATTTTGATATTTCTAGATTTTTCGATTTCTCGACTTTCCAGTTCTATATTTTAATTTTTCAATTTTCCGAATTTTTAATTTTCGATTTTTCAATTTTTTTGGGACCTCGATTTATCGAGATTCGGATGTGTCGTTGTTTTGATTGTTCAATCTCTCGATTTATCTTTTTTTTTTTATTTTGGTTATAATTTTTAATATTTCAAATTTTGACGTTGTTGAATTTTCACTTTTCGGTTTCTCAATTTTTTAATTTCCTAATTTGTGGATACTTTGTTCAATTTTGTGATTTTTCAATTTTATTAACTGTTTTATGCTTCGATTTCTCAATTTTCAACTTTTCGAAATTTTAACTTTTGAATTTTTTTTCAATTTTCGGAATGTTTAAATTTTCGATTTTCCAATTTTTCAATGTTTTGCTTTTGCATGGAATTTTTATTAAAAAATTGTCACTGTTGTTAGCAACAAATTTCTAGTTCTGATAGTATCTGTGAATGGACTAAATGATTTTAATATAGAATATTTTGAGATGACGTCATTTTCGGAGATTATCTGCCTAATACAGGGTTTCTATAAAAGATTATATAAAAATGATCATCAACAAGTTCAGATACTGAAGGTTTTCCACGAGATTTCTCTCGTATTTGGCCAGATATTCTTGCTTAGAAGCGGTTACAGAATACACGAACTCTTCGTTTACGAAATCGCTGTAAAAATTGACGACAGACAGACAGACTATTATTCTTTATTTTTGCAGTATCTCTGCGAGTAATCGTTTCACAACTTTAAGTGCTACTTAAAACTGTTTCCATGTAAAAGAATCATACGCTGAAAACGATAAAATAAACAACGTGTTGTATAAAGTCCGTAACACAGGTCAAGAAAAGTCGTCGTTAGTAACTCTGTTGCAAACCAACTTAATTTTTCAGGTAAGTTTAGCAAATTTAACACGAAAGTTTTTTCTAAGAAGTTTTTATCTCCACAGTTTGTCGCCAAAATGTACAATAAAACGCACGAAAAGAAATTTGTTCTTAGAAATTCGCTACTGACCGACATCGTCGAAAACCCTCAGACTCGCTACGTTTACAACGTTTACGTTATCGTTTTCACCTTACTGTGTGTTCAAAACGCGGCCATTCAATATGTGAAGAAAGGAAGGTAAAACCAATTTTGAACCTCAGAAAACAAAATAAAAAAAATGTTGTAGCGTCAAATTAGGATTGGACACGATAACAATCGGGTTCGCTAAATTCGACAAAGCTGTATTAGTTTGGTTATGTTGCTTGGGATCGACTTGTGGAACTTTCTTCTGTTTCCAAATTTGGGCCAAGTTCAGGATTTTTACAAGTAGTAAGTATGCTTAATCCGTTCCAAGGTGACTTCATTACAAATATATAGTATATAATTTGTCAGGGGTGCGTAAAATGTGGGACTGGTTTTGGACAACCTGCTTGCTATCGTACTATTTTTACGTTTTAAAACTGACAAGTACTGCAACGGAGTACTTCGGATTTAATCCACCGTGTGCAGCTTTAGTAACCCTAGAATCTGTAAGTACACCTGCTTTAAATGTATTCCTACACGTGTACGATTTCCAGGTCCGGCTTTTAATGAAAGTACACTCGTTCGTACGCAACAAAGCTCCTGCAGTACTACAACCCTTGGAAACTTCTCCTATTGTAAAATTTTCCGACTTCTTTTACTTCGTTTTTGCACCTACTCTCATCTACAGAGACAACTACCCACGAACGAACAAGATTAACTGGAAATTTGTCTGCCGATGTTTCCTTGAGTGCACGAGTGTGTTATTTACATACAGCTTTGTTCTAGAAGCCGCCTACCCGTCCCCAGAAAGGCTCGTTCAGAAATATACCTTAAGCGAATTGGTGATGACCATTGCAGAAGTCGTACCGTATGGTGTCTTGGTAATTTTAGGAAACTTCGTACTGATTTTACACTCTGTGCAAAATTTATTCGCCGAAATCACTCGTTTCGGGGACAGGTTATTCTACTCGGACTGGTGGAACGCACACAGTTTCGTCACATGGTTGGCAAAATGGAACTTACTCGTACGAGATTGGTTCTACTACTACGTGTACCGGGATTTCAAGCAGCACATCTATGACAGCACGTCAGTAGCTATGTTTGGGGTTTTGTTAGTGTCGTCTGTTGCACACGACTACGCTATGTTCTGTTGTTTTCATAGATCATCTCCTCTTCTAGTGTTGATTACTCTATTTGGCTTTTTCTTATCGTTTTGGTGTAACTTTGGAAAAAATATGTTCTCTAACGTGTTCGTCATGTGCTGTGTTTTCATCTGGGGGTCTCTTGTTCTCACTCTGTATGGTTTAGAATATTACGCATTGACAAAATACCCTTTAACCAATCCCACATTTTTCGAAATTCTTGTCCCCAGAATTGTGACCTGTGACTGTTTACTTAAATTTAATTGAAGGACTTTAAACCGGTTGTTGAATAAATAACGAACTTTAACACGCTAGACGAGGTATAACATTTTTTTGGTTTTTTGTATAAAAAAATGATATTAATATAGATGTATCATACATCAAACTGTAGCTTTTTTCATATTCTAGAGCGCAGAGACCAGTTCAATCAACTAAAAAAATATCGTAAAAAAGCACCATTGTATGTTTTCTTTTCAAGTTTTTTGAGTCATAACCATCATAGAATCGCTTGAAAATTCGCACATGGATAAAACATCACTTTTTACAGGGCGCAGAGTCATTAAATGTTTGTTAGTGGTACAATTTGTTTAAATAATAATGTGTTTATTAAAATCAAAATATACCACAAATTAATGCAAAATACGTCGAATAATTTTAACAGGAATATCAGAGGAAAATTAATGATCTATGGGTTAGCAGAGTTTTTAACAAAAACTAACAATTATTGAAAAAAATGGGTATCAATTCGACAGAATTTGAGCAGTTAGTTCAGTACTTTGCCGATATGAGGTACTATCATAAAACTGAATTAAAACTGGGGAACTATAATATTTTTACTCCACTCAGGATCCTGAATTCAATACACATGATTACTAAAAATTCATTGTAATATTATTGTTAATATATTTTACTTTGTTAATTAATAAAACTAATAAACATATTTATAATAATAATAAAAAATATATAAAATACAGCTTTTGTTTAACACGTATAAGTAGCTAAGTGTATCTACTACTTATCCCAGAAAGGAGGTGTTTTAAAAAAGCCCTACGCCCAGTAACTTCTCCCTTCATTGTTTACTGGAAAAAAGTGCTCGTATATGTTTTCATTTGCCGAGAGATCATTTTCAAAATATATTTATAATAAAAATATGCAAGTCTTGGTGATGAAAAATGTACTCCTAATAAATTATCAAAGTACATAAAAAAATAGAAACAAATGTTATTTATTTAAAAAAAATCTCTCGCAAAGGCAAGTTCCTCTTTCTTCTTGAATCAATTATTTCGGGCAATAATGCGCCAAAGTAAAATCTGCCAAGTTTATCTGCCATTTTTTACATATATTTCTTCGTCTTTATAAATGTTTTCTATATTTATTCCTTTGGGTGTCCATACAACAAAATAAACTTGTAAAGCAGAAAGAGACCAAGGTTAAAATGCTCTTTTCTTAGAAAGTATGTTATCTGCCAAAATCAGTTTTAACTTAAAAGATACTAGCCCCACACACCCACCCTATCTCTTTTTAACAGGTATGTCATCTGCCAAAATCAGTTCTATCTTAGAAAATATGATTTTGGCAGATGACATACCTTTTAAAAAAAGAGAGGGTGGGTGGGTGGGGCTAGTATCTTTTAAGATAAAACTGATTTTGGCAGATAACATACTTTCTAAGAAAAGAGCATTTTAACCTTGGTCTCTTTCTGCTTTATTCTCATAGAAATTTAGAGAAAAGTATCTCAACAAAATCAGTATTGTATTTACAAATACTAACCCCGCCCACCCCCCCTCTATTTGCTTAGAAGCTATATCATTTGCCAAAATCAGTTTTATCTTTACAAGTAGAAAGTCCACCCCCTAGAACTCATTTTGGCAAATGACATATCCTCTAAGAAAAGAGAGGGTGGGTGGGTGGGGCTAGTACCTGCTAGGATAAAACTGATTTTGGCAAGTGACATATCCTCTAAGAAAAGCCAGTCTTTATTTTCTTAGAGGATATGTCATTTGCCAAAATCAGTTCTACCTTAGAAGATGGTAGCCTCACCCAACCACCCTCTCTTTTTAACAGGTATGTCATCTGCTAAAATCAGTTTTATCTTAAAAAATACTAGCCCCACCCACCCACCCTCTCTTTTCTTAAAGAGTATATCATCTGCCAAAATCAGTCTTATCTTACTAAGGACTACAAGCATTTGTCCCTGGACTTGAAAGTAGTAATCATGATTTTTTTTAGTTTCAATTCTCTGTCTGTCAATGTACAAAATTTGATTATTTTTTTTCTAACCGCTTCTTCGGGAGACAAATCTTGCGATTTTGAAGGGCATTTAATTTTGACTAATGCACTCCTATCCTCTAGAACCCTGTCTGGACTAGCAGCCAAGTAAGGAAATTGTTTTGAAATAAACAAGACACACCTTGCAGTTTTTATATTTTTATTTGTTTCAAAACACTTGACAGCTTTTTCCTCACTTTGCTGTCCATAGTATGTATGACTATTACCTCTAAATGTACTATACAACAGAGACTCCACAGTTTTAGCTATTCCTGTAGTCGGTCTAAGTTTGTAAATACGTCCAAAATTTGAAACCGTAACCCTATTCGATTTTTCAAGTTCTCGGTTTAGATTTTTTGGTTTTCCAATTCTTCGATTTTTAAATTGTTTAATTTTTAGATTGTTCAATTTCTGGATTTTTAGATTTTTCAATTCCATGATTGTTCAATTTGTCGAATTTTTAAATTTTAGATTTTTTGTTCTCGATCATTCAATTTTCTGAGTTTTCAGGCTTAGATTTTTTTTGTTGTTCAATTCTTGGATTTTTAAAATTTTTATTTTTTAAATTTTCCTATTCATCAACTTACTGGGATTTCAATGTTTTGATTTTTTGATTGTTCAATTTCTCGATTTTTTGAATTTTTAGTTTTTGATACGATTTTTTTTTTTCAAAAATTTTCAGTTTTTCAATTTATTAACTTTACGATATTTCTGTTTTACGATTTTAAACTTTTTTTATTTTTCAGTTTTCAATTTTTGACGTTTCTAAATTTTTCGATTTTTCAATTTTTCGATTAACTGATTTTTTGATTTTCCCATTTCTCCATTTCTTGATTTTTCAATTCTTTCTTCAATTGTGATTTTTCAGTTTTTCGATTTCTGGATTTTTCAATGTTTCAGTTTTGGATTTTTTCACTTTTCCGATTCTTCAATTTTCTTTCCATTTTTCAGTTTTTCAAGATTTCAGTTTTGAATTTTTTCACTTTTTCGATTTTTCAATTTTCCTTCCATTTTTCAGTTTTTCAGTATTTCAGTTCTGAGATTTTGCAATGTTTCGGTTCTTCAATTTTTCGATAGGTATTTTAATTTTTCAATTTTTAAGTTCTAGATTTTCCGTTAATTTTATTGTTTTCCTTGATGTTTTGATTTCTCGATTATTCGATTTTTCAAGTTCTCGGTTTAGATTTTTTGGTTTTCCAATTCTTCGATTTTTAAATTGTTTAATTTTTAGATTGTTCAATTTCTGGATTTTTAGATTTTTCAATTCCATGATTTTTCAATTTGTCGAATTTTTAAATTTTACATTTTTTGTTCTCGATCATTCAATTTTCTGAGTTTTCAGGCTAAGATTTTTTTTGTTGTTCAATTCTTGGATTTTTTAAATTTATGTTTTTTAAATTTTCCTATTTATCAACTTACTGGGATTTCCATGTTTTGATTTTTTGATTGTTCAATTTCTCGATTTTTTGAATTTTTAGTTTTTGATACGATTTTTTTATTTCAAAAATTTTCAGTTTTTCAATTTATTAACTTTACGATATTTCTGTTTTACGATTTTTAAATTTTTTTATTTTTCAGTTTTCAATTTTTGACGTTTCTAAATTTTTCGATTTTTTAATTTTTCGATTAACTGATTTTTTGATTTTCCCATTTCTCTATTTCTTGATTTTTCAATTCTTTCTTCAATTGTGATTTTTCAATTTTTCGATTTCTGGATCTTTCAATGTTTCAGTTTTGGATTTTGTAAGCGAGAGTTTGGTAGCAACAATTCAAAAAATCTACAAGCAAACCGTGAGCGCAGAGTAAATAGGAAGACCAGTGAATGTCTTTTTTTGGACAAAGGGTGTGAGGCAGGGTTACCCAATGAGGCCCAACCTGTTCGCTTCTCATGTCAACGATCTTGATGAAATATTCAAGAAAGCGCAAGCAGGTGGTGGCTAATAGGACGAAATAGACACTGTATAAGAGAAAATTAGAAAAATGAAAAAACAGATTTTTGAGTTAATTGTTTAGAGCAAAATAAAAACAATTTTCTTAGACAAAAAAGAAGAACTACATTAATTATATTTTATGCAAGTTGCAAAATTTAAATTCAATAGAATCAGGTTTTGGAGTAAGAGGATCGAGGACAATCAAGTCGTTTTTTTTAATTATTATTTGACCTCGAAATATGTTAAAACCATTCTTCCTTTTTTGATATAAAAGGAAAAATTAAACATTTTTATCACATACATGATCATTATATAAAATAATCATGGAGATTAGTGATACCATAAACAACACAAAAAACGTAAAAAATTCTATTCTTCAAATTGGTCTTGTCGAAATCGTGCACCACAGTAAACTTCGAGGAATTCGGCAGTAAAATTTTAAATGCAGATTTTTAATGACCACGATCAAATTAGAAATGTAAAATTGACTGTTTAATAATTGTACATTTAACTCCAAGTAACTGATCGTAAAGTAATATTTTATGTCAACGAAGTTCGTTACGCAATCGGTGTCAGGCTTTTTTTCATAGTTTTCACTTATTTATCTACGTGGATACTGGTTTTTGCAAAAATTTCTTCAGCCATAACCTAGATTATAGAGAAAATACACTACATGGTTATAAAATTGTAATAAAATGTGTGGCCTCTGTTTTTTCTATTCAGTAATAAAATTATGACAACTATGTATTATCCATTCACGATCTTTATATAGTAAAGTAGGCTTTAATATTTTTTCTTTAAGTTGGATAAACTGATTTGATAATTTAGTTTTTTGTCTGTCAGTCAATTTGTCAAATTTGAGGCAAAAACAATCCCATGATAAATGGAATTTCAATCGCCAAATTTTTAAATTCTCACTCACACCCTGTATTTTTATTAGTACCGTATCTTACTCTGTTTATGTTCGTGTTCTTCTAATGTGTCTTTTAAAAAAGTAACTTATAATTAACTTTAAATTTCGAAAATAGAAAAATTCAAATATAGAAGAACTGAAAACTCGAGAAATAG